ATGGGAGGCCTCCAAGACAAGAGGCCCCGAAGAGACCCCCGAGAGGCCAACATGGGCGACTCACCTAGGTCTCGCCTGAAGACGGCCCAAGAGGCCCCCACGATCGCCCCAATACGGCCCAAAGTGGTCCCCAAGAGGGCCCCCAGACGGTCCGAGAGGGACCCAAGACTGCCCAAGAGGCCCCAAGGAGGGCCCCAAGGAGGGCCCCAAGAGGGCCCCAAGAGGGGGCCCGCAGAGGGCCCCAAGGGGGGAGCACGAAAGGGCAGTTCGAGCCGTGCGCCTCAAGACGACCTCCGAGACGGCCAGCAGAGGCCGCCCCCAGGAGGCACACATCAGTCCCCAAAAGGCCACGAAGATGCCCCCGAGAGGCTCCACAAACGTCCCCAAACTGCCTCACAGAGGCTTCCCAGAGGCCTCTCACGAGATCCCCGCAGGGATACAAGAGGCCTCTGACCTTCAACCAAGGCACGGTGGCGGAATGGGCCGAATGCCACTGGACCGCGGGGACGGATGGGCCGAAGGCCACTAGACCGCGGGGACGGAAACACACACAACTTACTTTGTGCTTTGTGATGGCGCGAGACCACTGGCTTGTCCGTTCTTCCCACTCTGACGTCCTGACTTACCCTCGCCCTTGTCGCATCATTGAAAAATCTTGGGGCCATCGTGGGCCGAGTTGTGAGACTCTCGTGCTGTCTTCAGGCCCTCTTTTTTTTCTCACACCTCGCAAGGACGAGGCGACAAAATGAGTCCCACACACCTCCCAAGAACGCAGTCCGCTTACGCCCGAGAGTGTCAGAGGCCAAACGCCTGCAGACAGCGTTCATGGCGTGCTTGCGCTGAAAGAACCACAATGGCTTGTGTTCTCAGCAGAAGGTGCCGGGGATGCAGCGGCCAGCACTGTACATGAGCTGCTACCTTGGGCTGCAGCTCGCTGGACATTGCTGCGTGAAAATGCACTGCTAACTTGGGCTGCAGTGCCACGCAACTAAAAACCCCAACAATATTTCTCCCACGCGGCACTCGAACGAAAGATGGACATGCTTGGTTCGCGCATGAATTCTCTGTCCTGAGTCCTGAATCCTGAGTCCGCCTAAAATGCGAGGTAGCGCTTGCAGCGCAAATCGGGATTGGTGACGGAGGAATGGTCCCCACCGCCGAGCAAACCACCGACTGGATACCCCGACTTGCCCAAGTTCTTGGCAAACATGTTCAGGTAGGGAATGCCTCCGCCAGTACGGCCCCATACGGTCTTCAATTTAATGCTGTGGAAGCTCATCCAGCCCGTTCCCTTTCGATGGGCCTGCGGCTGCTTGGCCGTGTAATGGAAGCCGCCCTCGCGCACGTCGTCCGCCCACTTGCCGGTCACATTAATGGATACAAAGTAAACGTCCGAGCATGCGTCGCCACAACGCTGTGCCACGGCCGCGACGGCCAGGAGCGTCGCGCTCTCCGCTGCAAACTGTGGGACCTCGACCAGCAAGTGCCTGCCGTCTTTGAGGAGATCAAAACGCTCCCCGTGTATATTTACCAGGTGAGGATCCCCGACTGCAGCAGCAATCGCTGCAGGCGTACGGGCTGGCGTAGGGGCGGGCGTCGGCGCCGGGGTCGGTGCAGGCGTCGGCGCGGGCGTTGGTGCCGGCGTAGGCGCCAGCGTCGGTACCGGGGTCGGTGCAGGCGTCGGCGCGGGCGTTGGTGCCGGCGTAGGCGCCAGCGTCGGTACCGGCGTGGGTAGGTCGTAGATGCACGCGAACTTTCTGTTGTTATGGCCGCAACATGTGAATCGGTGTGTTGATAAATGCTTTGAACCATCACTGTAGTAATAAACGAGATCGGCATCATCAAGCCCGTTGGAAAGTGTCATCCACGATCCCTGCCCGAATTGTTGGAGGGCGGATGGGAACATATCCAAATCATTCTCTGTTGCCAAATACCCTCCCAGTTGACTGCAATGCTGCTCGATGTCCTGGCAATCAAGCTGGACTCGCCCATCGTCATCGCAATTCCGCACCACAATTGAGTCAGTCTGCTGGGGAGAAGAGATGCATTTTGTAGGCGAAATACTGATCGGGAAGTTGGCCGGGCATGCCTGCGTCGCAGCCTGAGTTGGTGCTGGTGTCGGAGCTGGTGTCTGCGTGCATATCAGCTGCCACACGTCGTAAGTACCTGGACAGTTGTCAATATTGTAATTCGGGTTTCCGTCTGGCAAAGCCGTATCAGCTTCACACATCTGCCCATCCATCATTCCAGGGGCGCAGTCCGGCAGGTTGCAAGGGTTCGTGTCAGCATCAGTGCATGGGCATGATGACACGGGTTGAAACCCACAAGCCGCTGGTGTCGGAGCTGGTGTCGGCGTGCATATCAGCTGCCACACGTCGTAACTACCTGGACAGTTGTCAATATTGTAATTCGGGTTTCCGTCTGGCAAAGCCGTATCAGCTTCACACATCTGCCCATCCATCATTCCAGGGGCGCAGTCTGGCAGGTTGCAAGGGTTCGTGTCAGCATCAGTGCATGGGCATGATGACACGGGTTGAAACCCACAAGCCTCCGGGGTACTGACGCGGCCGAGGTCGAAGCTGGTGGCGTCCGTGCCGAGCTGCAGGAGCACGGTGTCCTGCTGAGGGTCGACCTCCGCCGCTGCGGTCGTGCCGAAGACGTCGTGGGCGAGGAGATGGATCAGCAAGCACGCTCGGGCAGGCGCCGTCCGGGCCATCGTGGCGTGCACGTAGACTCGAGGAAAAGTTGGTCCAGTGAGGCGCGTACGTTAGCGTTTCACGTTTGAGCCAGATGGCTGCGGATCTCGAGCCCAAATGGCTACGGACTGTCTTCAGGCCCTCTTGAGCAGTCTCAAGGCTTATGAGGACCGTGGCCTCCTACAGGGCTATTTCTATGGAGCGTACCCTGAGGGCTCCAAAACCTAGAAAAAAGTTCCCAGGGCACGGTCGAACAAAACAAAGGAAAAAGCTCGTTGGGAAGTGGTGAGGGCTTTCTGTGAGCTCGCGCCCTTAGGAGTACGAGAGGGGTACGACAGTCGCGAATTCCGATGCCGACAGCATCTCATGAGATTCGCACTCCGCGCGAGCGGGTGGCGTAACCACGGCGCGTGAGGCGCAACGACGATGGGCGATGGGGGCGTGACGAGGGTGGGTGGTGGGGCATAACGACGGCGGGTGGGGGGGTCGTAACGACGCGGGTGGGAAACGCAGCGACGACGCGTGGAGGGCGCCAGGACGACGGCGGTGGCAATTGGGGGGAGGGGGGGGGGGCGCGAACGACAGCGAGGGGTGGGCGGAGTCTTTTGACAACGGTGGGCGTGGGCGCAACGACGAGGGGGCGTAGCGACACAAGGGTGGGGTGGTGGTACGTGTGTGTGTGTGTGTGTGTGTGGTGGGTGGGCGGGGGAGGAAGGGGGTATAGGGTGTGGGGCGTAGCGACAATTCGTGGGGGGGGGAGCGGCGGGGGGGGGGCGTAATGATGGGGAGCGGGCAGCGCGACGACGGTGTGGGCGTGGTTGGGTGGGTGGGCGGGTTGTGTGTGTGTGTGTGGGTGCGTGTGCGTGCGTGTGCGTGTGTGTGTGTGTGTGCGTGTGTGTGTGTGTGTGTGTGTGCGTGTGTGTGTGCGCGTGCGCGTGTGTGCGCGCGGGGGGGGGGTGGGAGGGAGGAGGGGCGACGGCGTGTGCAGGGGGTGGGTGGGTGCTGGTGGCGGAGGTGCGATGGGAAGACCCCCAAAACCAATGTTTCCGACCGACGCCTCGTAGGGCGTCCCTTGTATCATTTTGGGGGGGATGCATTGCAATGCGCGCGGGCGGGCGATGCCCGCGATGGGTGCACGTGGGCCCCAACATGCGCCCCCAATGCGGCCCCAAGAGAGGCCCCGAACAGGAAACAAATCTGTGGACACATGGGTTTGGGGGCATTCCTTTGCATTGAAGACCGAAACGGGGCGCACGGTAAACATATGCGTGCCCTTAAGGGGTTGGGGCGATGTTATTCGTGCCCCCTGAAAGCTCCTCTTGGGGCCCTCGTGGGCCGTATTGGAGGAATCCTGGGCCGTCATGAGTCCATATTGTGCGTCTTGGGGCGATCTTGGGCTGGCTCGAAGCCCCTTCGGGCCCTCTCGGCGGCCTCCTGGGCCCCCTTGGCGCGCTCTTGGGAGAACGACGGCAACGACGACAGTTTCGTGCCGTGGGCATTCATGCCCCAACTGCTGCGCCGCTGCATTGGAAGAGCCCCTGGAAGAGCCGCGCGCGGCCACTGTTGCAGGCGCCTGAACGGCACGTGCAGCAGTCCTGTTTCCCCACCGCCACCATCACGACACACACACACACACACGCACGCACACACACACACACAAAACACACACACACACACACGCCACCACACACACACAAACACACACGCACACACACACGCCACCACACACACACACACACGCACACGCACGCACGCACGCACACACACACGCAATGATGAAAGCCTGATCTCTCGATCCTGCCGCCGCCATTTTTGCCCAACGTCGCGCTGGCCGCGCGGCCCTTTGTTGTGCACGGCAATATGATTGCCATACTCGCCGCGTCGGTGGCTGTTCGGAGTTGCCTCCTTCCATATCCTTCCATATTCCGCCCTTGCATGGGCGACGATCCATGGTCGATTGCAGCACAGGAGCTGCAAGAGAGTCGCTGTGATCAGCGCCCAGAGAGCCACCTGGACGGAGACGCGGCTGTCCCGATCGACGCCGACGACGACGTGCCGTGGGGCGGCCTCCTGATCGAGCCCAGCGCCGAGCACGACGCAGAGCATCCTGGGAAGCGCCCACGGCGATTTCGGAGAAGTGCTTTGTTCCAGGAAGCTTTGAGAGATGCTGGCGTTGTTGGCATAGAGCATCCACCCACTCGTGACAGGCACGACATACTGAAGCACGCAAGAGAGTGCAAGGCTGCAAAACGTGATGGCGAACGGGATCGCCCGTTGGTGGTTCCACGGCCTGCTGATCTAGCCATGGCCGTTGCGCCTCCGCCGGCAGTACCAGCAGAGACCATCAGCAGGGTGCAGGAGATGGACATCCGCCTTCGCACACAGTGGCCTCTCGAACCATGCGTGCGGGAGGTCATCCAGAACATTCGCATGGACAATGCAGGTCGCGATGAGACAACTACCAAAGTCGCGAGACATTACTTGGCGCAGAGCGGCTCCCGAGCCAACGTCGATTTCAGGGTATCTTCCAAGGTTTCTTTGGCTGCGAACCTCGGGGTAGACCGTAAGAATATCTTGTCCACGTTGTACCGCACTGCGAGCATGGTCGTGCACGTCGACAGGGGTGTTCGATTCGCCGTGGAGTCGACGTTGGCTACAACTTTGCACGATTGCGACCTACTGGTGTACATCGACGCCAGCATGAACGACGAGACGCCGCTCAAGCTTGGCCTCCAGCGGCAGAATGATCACAACATCCAGCACACCCACAACCCTGCGGAGGCATCGACTTCCCTGGCCCTGACCATGCCAGGGATGCCAGTGATGTCTGGAAGAGAGAAGACGGCGGCCAAAATATTGCAATCAAGAGATTCGTGGGGAGTACTTTTCCGCAGACGAGATGGTCAGCTCGCTGCTTGCTGGGGTCGTTCTAGCACTTGGCTTCAACTTCTTGACAGGACCACTGGGGAAGTCCTGCGCGAGGCCACGTGCCAACGGAGCAGCATCACACAATTCTGCGAAAAGTTCAAGAGCAAGACGAGGTTGACATGCCTTGACAAGGCCGCTTCCAACGAGAAGGCAGAGAGGGCGTACCTCAAGGACCTGAACGAGGTTGCTGGTGGCTGGCAGCGTTTGCACATCTTCTGCGAGGTGCACTTGGTTGCCTTGGCCCACAAAAAAACTTTCAAGCTGTGCGATGCCCTCATCTCGGGGCAAATACATTTGGCTCTTTCCATCAACGAGGGCACGGGGTTCACGAGGTTCGCCATGTGCGTCAAGAAGGCCGTGAAGGCTCGCATGCAGTTTCGGCGATCGGTGCCTGTAAAGCTTGTGCAGGCTCCCCGTTGACCGTCGCGTGGCCCCGACCGAGCCATCGATTCTGGCCCCCCTTCCCGTCCAGCAGGCTTTGTTTTCAGCTGTAGGTTTGGGTCCCAGCCTCATTGTTTGAGCTGTTCTTGATGTTTTGTTTTTGGTGAGGGTGATCGTGTCCATACCAATGCCCACGCATGCCGCACATAGTATACTTGAATGCAAACGTACCCTCTGGGGGGGGGACGGACCAGCACAGGTGTTGCAGCCACCGTGTCTTCTCAGGCGAGGGCGCCCGCCCGAAGAGGCAGTGCGACATCGTCGTCACCTTCTCCGCTTGTGTTGCTCTCGTGGAAGCCGCGTCCTTATCCGCAGGCTTTCGCTTGCGTACCTCCCCAACGGTGACTGGCGCAAGAGGGACTGCGTGGAGGTGTACTTACCAGAGAACGCCACGCACGACGAGGACTACGTGAAGGAGGTCATCTCGGAGTCGTTGACGAGATGCCTCGTGGGGGCACGCTTCACAGTATACAATCGAAGCAAGTGGACCAGGAGCGACTCAGCGTGGGACGAGTTCTGCTTGCTGGAGGGGTGCCACGGCTTGGCATCGGCCGCGTGGGAACGCTGGTGCCGAGAGGCGCGCGACCTTGCTGCCTCGCAGTTTGATGGCGCAAACGCGCCGACGGTGCCGCATGACACAGCTGCTTCTCTCCTCCACCTGGCCGCGGTGATGGACGCCCCCATGTATGACAGCTCGGGCGACGCCAATGTGCCCAAGCCCGACGCCGACAAGCACGATAGTTCCAAACAAGCTCGGGCAAATGCGCATCGAGAAGAGCACGCGCTGCATCGCCGCTTGGCTACGACATTCTTGCAAAGCGACCCTTTGGGATGTGCCCTGGTGATCCGTCAGACTATGGAGCCGCTCCGAAACCTCTTGAAGCAACACCTCGAACATTGCGGAGTTCCGTACGCAGATCGCCAGGAAGCTGCAGCTGCCCAGAGTTGTACCAATGAGGGTGTACCTGGAGAGGGGCGCGCGTATCCAATCGTCGAGAGCGCCATGGGACAGTTCGAGGCGTCCTTCCACCTTCGGGTCAAGCTTCTCATGGACCACCCTGCTCTTTGGGTCGACTTGATCGCGCCCGAGAGACAGACGCTCAGTCTCCGAGGCTTTGCGTTCAGGCTCCTTTCAGCAGCAGACTGCCTCATCCAGGAGACCCTTGACTTGCACCACAGCACGTTCCCGATGAAGATGTTTCGTCTCTTAGGCGGCGCCCAATCCTCAGACATCACTTGTTTCCCCCCCTGCATGTACGACGATTGGTCCTGGGCATTCCTGGAGAGATACCGCGAGGACCCCGATTTCGTTGACGGCGATGTGGCTCGGGCAGAGTTGCGTCTCCATGCGTACTTAGCAGGGGTGAACATCGCACCTGTGGAGGCAACCCACTCTGCAGTGCGACGGCGGCTCTTCGCCAAGGGCAACCAGACGCACGCTGAGGGCCACGCGGAGCTCAGTGCAGAACACATGCTGGACAGGGCAAGGCGTTTCGGGAAGGAGTGGGAGTCGACCTGCGAGCCGCATCACATCAACCTTGGCGGCCCTTGCGACCCAGATGATGACGGCAGTGGCCAGTCGAGCAAGCGCGGTGGCGGCGGAGCCTGGAGGGCTTTCGTTCGGCGCGAGAGCGCCAACTCGACTGGGCGTCCAGACCTGCGAGAATTGGGGAGGAGGTACCGTGAACTACCAGAAGCCGAACTGGCCGACCTTCGAGTGGTAGGCAAACATGCTACTGAGCAGTGGCGGGATGGCGCTAATGGTACAGCAGTTGGCAGCTCGTTTGGTCTCAGGGCCAAGGACGTCCAACGCGCGCTGCACAGGCAACGTCTGGAAGGCCTTGCGTCGAGGGCCGTCGCCATTCAGTCCGAGGCCCCCGTGGTTGACACCGCAGTCTTGTGTGACAGCGCCATCGCCAGCGCTGTGGTTGGACGGTCATACGCCGAGGAGTTCGACCTCAAAGAGATTTCCAAGTCTGCTCGTGCAACTTTGCGGTCTGAATTGAGGGCACTGAAGAAGTGCGATGAGGACTCGTTCAAGTGCCTGACCGAATGGCAACGCATTCAGAAAATCGACGCCGAGAAGACGCTCTACGAGACCGTGCCTGGCCTTGAGATCTGCAAGGAGTCCATCGATGCGGTTCCGAACTGCCGTCAACACGTCTACACCGTCAAGCACCCGTGCGAGCTCTCCGCCGCGAGCGCGGCAGTGGTGTCGAACTCTACCAGCACCTCGAACCTGAACAAGTATTTGGAAGAGTTTTGGACATCGCTGCACAAGCCGATCATGCATCAGGAGTGCCGCCCCATCGGCAAGGCCCCGAAGGCGCCCATCAAGCCCCCGTGCTATACCGTTGGCAGGTGCTTGTGTGGCCCAGCAGGCACGCGATTGCTCAAGTTACGTGCTCGCTTCCACGCCTTACTTAAATTACCAACGAGGAAGAACACTGAGGGAGCAGACCTTCTTGCCAGCCGAAAGCTGTTCTTGCACTTGGTCGGCGAGTCGCCGCTCGAGGAGTCGCCTTGGCGCGCTGCGTGCGGCGAGCAATCGCAGCCTGTCCTGGACGTGTGGTGGCACATCAGCGCCCACAGCCTGAACCCCTTCAGGGGCACCTACCGCGTCCTCGACTTCTGCTCTGCGGAGGAGCGCTCTGGCGTAGAGGAGGTGTTGCTCAAGGTTGCAGCGCGCTGGTCGCAAATCCCACCACGCCCGCAAATCCCCGAGCCCCCACCCGAGAGGTCGTATTGTTTATGTGTCTGGTGCGAGTCGGGAATGTCGTTTCAAAATGGCGACTCATCGCATCATGTTTTGTTGATGCGCCCAGTGGGGGGGTAGTGGGTCCGCGGCGAGATTGGGATATGCGACTAGTTGTTCTGCCAAGGCTACCGACTCCAAGCTGGTTGACTGGGACGCGTTCGCCACGTTATCACGGGATGTTTCGTGGGCGCGTGAGTTCTACGTCCTTTGCGAGGGCGGGCGCATCGTTGACAACTTTCGCCCAGGAGACGTACTGGTTAAGAGGTTAGTTACCGAGCCTGTCCCGTTACCGTTCTGGGACCCAACGAAGCCCATTAGTGGGATGCATGGCGACACGGACGGGCTTGGCGATGGAGATGCAGATGATGCAGGGCACCTGGACGACAAGGGCGACGACCACGAGTTCGGGGACGGCGCGAGCGACGAGGAGGGCGACCATTTCGAGCACGACGTGGGCAGCGACGAGGCGTCCGCTGAAGCGGACAGCGAGGACATCCGAGGCGCCGAATGCGTCGACCAACGTGTTCTGGCATATGCCCGCTGTCTGCGCGCAAGCTCGAAGTGGCCCCGCATCCCCGAGGCATTCGAACTTGCCGCCGCAGCCGAGGGGGGCAATGCCAGCATCGCGCGTTGGTCGACGCGTTTGTTCACGAGGATGGACCAGCATCTCTCGATGATGATTTCTGGTGGGATTTTCTTTCTCTATCGGATGGCGGTGATTCTGAGCCCCTGGCTGGCGACGAGGGCGACGTGCACGTGGTCAGCGACGACGGCGGAGACGGTGTTGGCCCTCACGAACCTCATGGGGGTGATGGCGGTGGCGGTGCTGGGGGAAGCCAGGGGTCTGGCTCCAATGACCCGCCTCCTGATGCGCCGCCGCCTGGGGGGGGGTCGCCAGAAGGGCCGCCCCCTCCACCCCCGCCTCCGCCAGGGCCCGCAGTTGGCCTTGCAGATCGCGGGCACGCAGATGCGTTTTTCATTCACCCGCACGGCACAGTGAAGTACTATGCACGGTACGAACGTTTCGAGGCATCGTGCAACGTGTGCCCTAGGATCGGAGGGAAGCCGTGCAGGCTCACCCGCACCAGCAGGGCTCGGGATGGGAATGCCGCGCAGGGCCGCCCCATGGGCGCGATCTGGGCGTGGTTGGATTGGGGCCCAGAAGCGCTGGCCCGCAACATTCCCCACAAAGCCCCGCTTCACATGCTTGTAGCCCTCCCACATGCAGCCCGCCGCGCAGCGAGGCATGCGTACAGAGTCATGCCAGGCGGCGCCGATATCACAGCATACGAGCGCCCCCAGAGGGATGGCGAGGACTCCGAGCCAGACGGATTGGCTTGAGCCTGGGACTGAAGTTTATATCCCCATCCATAATGGGAAACAACATCGAACCCACATTGGGCCAATGGTGATGGCGAGGAGGTAGCAGTACCAGGGAGGATGTAGGAGGAGGAGGGGGAGGAGGAGGAGGAGGACTATTAGGAGGAGGACGAGGGGAGGGAGGAGGAGGAGGATTAGGAAGAGGAGGAGGGGAGGGAGGAGGAGATCATGATGGAGGAGGGGCGGCGAGATAGGAGGGGAGGGTGAGTTGTTGGGCCCCTTCTTTACCACATCCTCGCTATTCGTCGTTTCCCTCGTCGCCATTCTGTCTCCCAACATGTTCCGTTCCTTTCCCGCAGTCATGGTCCTCGTGGCCCCCCCTTCCCTCCCAGTGATATCCTTGTCCACCGCGTTTCTTCTCAAACTCGTCATCCGTGCCACCCTTCCCCCTCTCATCCTGTCACTGCTTATTGCACTCCGTCATCAAATCCCTTGACCCCGTCTCTCCGCATGCTCCGTGTTACCGCATCAGGTATCCCCATTGGCCCCCAATTTGTACGCTCATCAGAGTGAGGGGGCCGAACGGTCATTCACTGTCCCTCGGTGCGTGGCTAAAGTGGGATTTGGCGATGATGGTTATTGTTGCAGTTGTTTGTTGTTGTTGCTGTTGTTGTTATTGTTGCTGCTGTTGTTGTTGTTGCTGTTGCTGTTGTTATTGTCGTTGTTGCTGTTGCTGTTGCTGTTGCTGTTGGTGTTGTTGTTGATGGTGTTGGTGTTGTTGTTGTTGTTGTTGTTGCTGTTGTTGTTGTCGTTGTTGTTGATGTTGTTGTTGCTGTTGTTGTTGTTGTTGTTGTTGTTGTTGAACATTATTAATTCTAAAGAATAATTATTGTTGGGCCCCCTGGTGCGCGCCCCCCCTGCGCCGCCTAGGCCGCAGCTACATTTTCATCATTTTCGTGAGGAAGCCTCAGGTAATACGATGTCATCAAGATCCGGTTGTTTTGTTGTAATCCGTTTTCCCTTGCAAAAAACACTATAAAATGACATTTCTTGTTCTAATATAATCAAATTTCAAGAATCCCTTGCAAAAAATAAGGTAAAGTGGACATTCGCGCGCGCAAGACGAAATCCTTCCAAAAGCTTAGTGTTCGGAGCGATTTTAACATAAAAACATCAAAAAACCAATGGTTTTTCAACAAAAAAATGTCAAAATCTCATCCCGCGCGCTCTTGCGGATTCGTAGGAAACCCAACACTTTTTAAACATTTCTGTCAAACGGGCTTTTGCGAGCAACTTTTTCGAACTTCTGCGACAACGGTTGCGCACCTGCCAGGGCCATCATCCCTGTCAAATAATACCATGCGGGACACATTCGTTTTTTCTTCGCGCGCGCACGCCGAAATCTCCAAAAACCATTGGGCTTCTTAAGAATTTTAGCACCGCGCATCATAAAATCACACGAATCGCACCGTAGGTCCTCGAAAAACACCTGCACGACTTTTCAAAATTTCTACCCGCGCGCGCTGTCCTAACAACTTCTGTGGGTGTGTACTCCACGCCAGTGTAGTAGCCACGGTCGTCCGCAGGCCACGAAGTGAAGTGTCCGAACGTCATAGGGCGGGAAGCTGGGTGTGGGTGGTGGCGAAGAGTCGTGTGGATATTTGGTAGAGCTTGCACTGCCCCCCCACAAAGTGGGGGTATTGGCTGGCGTCGCATGAAAACCCTGGCACTGGTGAGAACACTGAGCGTTCGGGTAAAGTGATTGTTGTTGTTGTTGTTGTTTTTGTTGTTTGTTGTTTGTTGTTTGTTGTTTGGCGTCGTCCCGCCCCGCGACCCGCCCGCGACCCACCCGCGACCCACCCTGCGACCCACCCGCGACCCACCCGCGACCCGCCCGTGACCCACCCCGCGACCTACCCTCGACCCACCCGCGACCCACCCACCCGCGACCCACCCACCCGCGACCCACCCGCGACCCACCCGCGCCTCGAATTGAAGATTTTCGGGTGGGCCCCCTGGGGCCTCGAGTAGCCCTCTTGGGCTCCTCTTGGGGCCCTCTTTGAGCATTCGGAAAATATTGAACCAGGGGTGGCTCAAGGGCTGGAAGGGTCACCCTAAAATCCGCACCGTGTTAGGGTGACCCTCCCTGGCTCAAGGCCGCTCGCGCGGCCCAAGAGGGGACCAAGAGGGGCCCAAAAGGGTTCCAAGAGGGGCCCAAGAGGACCCCCCGACAGTGGCACCCAGAAGGCCCTCTTGGGTGCCACTGTCAGGGGGCCCTCTTGGAGACCTTTCAAGGCCCTCTTAGGGGCCCTCTTGGGGTCTCTTGGGCCCCTCTTGGGCCCCTCTTGGGGCCCTCTGGAGCTTCCTGAAGGGCCCAAGACGGCCCCAGGAAGGCCTGCCGAGGGACCCAAGATGGGCCCAAGAGCGAGAACATCTATGAATAGATTTACGCCAGGGGGCCGCTCGTCCTCCTCCCTCCGAGGCGCGCGTCTCCTCCCTCCGTCCTCCCACCTGCTTCTGAGGCACACGTCCCCCCTTCCTCAATCGTTCGCCCCCGCACTCTTATCAGCAACTGCGGGGTGCTGCGATTGAGGTAGCATGATTGATCGCATTCCTTATTATGTAGCCCTGCTTCGCGCCGTCATCTACCTCCCACAAGCATGCATACTCATTGCCACTCTACGACGCTCACCCTGACCATCAATGTGGTTGCCTTCATGGCTGTCATGCTGCATGCCAGGGTAACTCTGCAGAGCACGCCAGTAATCCTACAGTCTTAGTATATATCTGGGGGCCTCGTCGCCGTATCTACTGTCACCGTCGCCATCGTCATTCTCATCATCCTCATCATTGTTGTCATCATCCAGCGCTGGCTCAAGCCTCTCTTGGGGCTCTCCTGGTCCTGGGGCCCCCTGGTGGGCCCCAGGCGGCCCTCTTGGGGCCTGCGAAAGCCCGCTGGGGTGTGTCTGGTCGGATCTTTTTAGCGCCCGAGCGAGCCCCTGGGGAGGCCGTTTAAATGCCGCTCGCGCGCCTTTGGGAGCGGTTACTGGTTCCCCCGAGCGCCCAAACGGTGCTCTGGGGGCGCGCCTGCAGGCCCTCCCCGCTAGGGGGCCCCCCGCCCTGAGGTGGAGGGGGGGGGGCCCGTCGAGGACCGATCGGGCCCCCTGGGGGGGCCCAACAGCGCCCCCAGGGGACCGGCCCGAGCCCTTGGGGGGCGCCACTAGTGCCCCCCCTGTCCCGGCCCGAGCCGTTTTTCAGAAAAACAGTCTCCACTAGGTCCAAAAAGCTATGAAAAAGTTAGGAAAAAGGTGACCTGGCGCACGCCCCGTGCGCGGGCGGCCCCCCTGCAGTCTGCGAAAGGACACCCAGGGACCGGCCCGAGACCCCCACAGTCTGGGACGGGACGCCCAAGGACCGGATGGGACCCTCCCTGAGCTCGGGGAAGTCCCGTGGTGGGGGAGGGCGGGGTCCCCGACCCGACTGGACGGGGCTCCCAGGCGGCCAGGGACTGGGTGGGGGCCACCGAAAATCTGGGGCCTGACGCCCATGGGGCTGGTCGGAGCCCCTGACAGCCTGCGGCGGACCGCCCAGGGATTGTGTTGGGTCCCCCCCGACAGTCTTGGGCGCGACGGTGCTACGCCCCATCACGATGGCGCCCCAGCTGCAGGATGCCCGTGCTCGTGCGTCGCGGCCAGGGACAGTGAATGACCGTTCGGCCCCCTCACTCTGATATATGTGTTACGCAAGTACCCCCCTTCACGTACTCACAACTATACCGTATGATCCATACGTGAATGCATATCTGTATATACTCATCCAACGATGTATATATGACATACATGTGCACCACAGACATATGCATACACATACATCTACATATTGTAATCACATAGACACCCCAGTAAACATGCCACATACGTGTCATCCCTCCTACATTCTGTTCCGCACGCCACAGGAGTGGCCAGGCGCATGCCCCCCCCCCAAAAAAAACACCAGTCGCCACCACCGCCACCACCACCACCAGCCACCACCGTCGTCACCGACCCAACCACCAAGTCCCCTCCCCCTCCCTCCACCATCCCCCCCCCCCCCTCCCGCAAACATACACGCACACGCACACGCGCGCGCGCGCCGCCGCGCCCCCCCTCCCCCCCCCCCCATGCACCACCCCGCCACCATCACACCACCACAACCACCACCACAATCGCCACCACCCTTCCCGCGCGACGCTGCTGCCGCGCGTCGGACTGGACCCAAAGGCGCCCGAGCAGATTTTCCTCACGACCACATCGAGGCTCAGTGAACTGGTCGGAGGCTAGCGGGCCAATCCGTCGCCTCCACCGTCGCTGCTGCCAGCGGCCCCATTCTCAACCACTGTTTCACGATGAGTACGTGAGAGCCTTGTGCCCTGGGCCGCCTTCTCGAGCGCCGCCCCCAGCTCCGTCGGTGCTGGGTGCGTGGCTAAACTGGGATGTCGCGATGCAAAGTGTTATTGTTGTTGTTGTTGCTGTTGGTGTTGTTGCTGTTGGTGTTGGTGTTGGTGTTGTTGTTGTTGGTGTTGGTGTTGGTGGTGTTGGTGGTGTTGTTGTTGTTGTTGGCGTTGGTGTTGTTGTTGGTGTTGGTGTTGGTGTTGTTGTTGTTGTTGTTGGTGTTGGTGGTGTTGTTGTTGTTGTTGTTGTTGTTGTCGTTGTCGTTGTCGTTGTTGTTGTTGTTGTCGTCGTCGTCGTCGTTGTTGTTGTTGTGTGCTTTTTGTTTGGCGTCGTCCCGCCCCGCGACCCACCCGCGACCCGCCCGCGACCCACCCGCGACCCACCCTGCGACCCGCCCGCGACCCACCAGCTATCCGCCCGCGACCCACCCCGCGACCCACCCACCTGCGACCCGCCCACCCGCGACCCGCTCGCGACCCACCCGCGCCTCGAATTCAAGCTTTTCGGGTGGGCCCCCTGGGCACTCGAGTAGCCCTCTTGGGCTCCTCTTGGGGCCCTCGTTGAGCATTCGGAAACTATTGAATTAGGGGT